TTCAGTAAACATTTGTTTCATTAAAATTTATATAAAAGTGTTCGTTAAAGGATTATAAATATATAAAAGAAGAAAAAGTTGTTCTTTTCAAAATCTTTATAAATATAAATGATAACTTTGTAGAATATGAAAGTGCTGATAATAATAATACGTAATTTATTAATATATGATTCAATAAGTCATTTTTTCTTTCTATCTATAAAATTATTATTAGTTTGAAAAGTTCTAAAAAAAATTTTTAACCATTATAGTCATTTCATAAAATAGATTGAATTGTTAAGGAGAATTATTTTTCAGTTTTATTAGTCAATTAAAATAAGAACTTTTAAATCACTTTAAAAAAATTTTGTTTCAATTTCCTCGTAGTTCTGAAGTTATGGATCATTATTAGATCTACGATCATAAAAATTCCGGTAAAATTATGTATTACACTTGAAAATTTTATGTTTAATAGTATATTTTACTTTATTACACGATTTTAAAAGCTATGTTTTATTTTACATTTAGATTTGACTTTTTCTTATGATATATGTTTTTAATTAAAATAAGTAAAATATTCCATAACAAAAAGACAATAAATCAAAGTTAGCTGCAGTATGTATACATATAATGTTAACAACAACAATAACAATAAGAAAAAAGAAAAGAAGTTGTATAATAAAATAATAACGTGCATATAGCGTCTGAAGCATAGATAATAAACTATTATTTATTACAGTAGTAAACAATATTTAAGCTTAAGAATCTTTATTGGGTTTACTTAATTGCTTCTCCAATATTAAATTTGTACTTTTTGCATTCATGTGTGCATGTAATTTGAGAATGTTGATTAATAAAATAATGCAGAAGATCATTAAAACTGGAGAAAATTTAAGTTGGACAATATTCTGTTTGAATTCAATGTACACATAGAAGTATTTACACATTATATGCAATAACAAATAATGAAATGCGCAATTAAATATTGAATTATATTATGAATTGCTTGCTTAATAATTTTGAATTACATTAATAATTTATTCAAATAAATAAAAATTTTACCTCCATAATATTTTCGGATTTTACATTTAAAATTATATGTGCTTACTTTACTTTAAATAACTAAATATTTATTCTAATTTACAACGCCAATTACTCAGTCGATAAAAAAAAAAAAAAAAAAAAAAAAAAAAATTAAAATTCTATTTGAATTAAAAAACGTCTTATCTTATTAAATATAGTGAGATTTTACTTTTATTATCGAGCTTTTATATTTACGTGTTCGTTTCGCAGAATTTAAGACAAAATGATTCAATATGATTTTTGTAGCAGTTGAAGTATCAATAGTCTCATTGTAGCTAAATAAAGGCTTATTTATGTCATGTAAGCATGAAAATGATAAAAAGTATATTCGTCATTATAAATACTAAGCTGTTATTTCTCGCACTAAGCGTCGTTATTGTAATATCGAGTGTCTCAATTTCAATGAAGTTTCCCTTTATTACCTTAACTCAGTTTTATCTCAGACATAATAAAATGTCGAAGAACAAGAATAACTTGAGAAACTCATCAGGCACAGACTTCTCAAAAAGTCCTCCAACTTTCGACTTCAGTTTATAAAAATAATACACTCAATGAATTTTAAACATTACTTACGAATAAAATATCTATTATTAATCTATTACAAATAGATCTATTTTCGTTTAATGCTTAATCTAAATAAATTCACAAATAATTTTAAAAGTCTTTTATGCTGCTATGCAAATTATGTAAGCGTTAATTTTTCATGATTATACATCAACAAATGAAATGATAATATTCGTCTCTAGTTGTAACATAACAGCAATGTAGTTTATAATAATTTTTACTGCGTTTACATGTACAGTTGGTAAACAGTTGGTAAATAGTGACATGAAACTCTTCAGCATTTAGTTATTTATGCCCATGTAACAATGTTAATCGATAAAAGTAAGGTTGATTCACATGATGGATAGATGCGCTGATGGCTTTGTGGATTAAACTTGAAGTACGTATATTTCAATGAAGTTTCTCATTTACGTATTAATTTTTAGATTGAAGCGTAGCCCTTTTTTCATAGATTTGCATTTATATTTAGTATATTTCTTGTAAAGAAAATTAACGTCTAATATATATATATATATATATATTTTTTTTTTCTTCATTTTCTGATGGATTTCTCAGGAAAGATATGACAATTATATTAATTTACTTATATCGGTAATGGTCATACGAAATGTGCTATTGCTGACGAGTGAAATTGTCAGAGACAAACAAATTATAATTCCATTCCTAAATGTGTATTCCTATTGTATAAATTTATATTCTGTGATAAATAAACATGCTTTGTTGTATGATAAATTTTAATATGTAATTAGTATTTTTTACTTGAGTTTCTTTCTCACAATGAATGGAATGAAATTTAATGAAATTTTTGTTTAATCCCAACTCATATTAAATTGTATTTAATTAAAAATTTATACATAACTATACGGATAACGCTAAAATGCATCTATGAATTATATATTATATCATAAATACCCTTAGGAAGAAGGTAAAGAAGCCAAAAAAAAAAATATATATATATATATATATATATATATATATATATATATATAGTTCCTACTCGTTAATATATAGAGCAAATTATTTAACTGAAGCTGTGTGCGCGCGTGCAAGCTTTTGCGAGTGACAGATGGTTTGCAATAGAGATAGGAAAGTAGTAGAAGTATAACTTCATTATTCTTACTAATGTGAACTTGTTCATGAATTTGGAAAATTAATGTTAGTTATTTATGACATAAGAAACAATGTATCATTGGTTATAATATATATGTGACAAAATTTTTAGTAAACAATAAACAATTAATAAAATTTTACAATCACGCTGTTATAACTATATATTACAATGATTATGATGAAAGTCGTACCAAGGAGGAATAAATAACATTTTAAAATATCATATCTTATTAATCATAGCATTTATAATTATTGCGTTTCGTTTTTTAAATATTAAATTTACTTATGAAATGGCATTGGCGTGTATCAGCATTAGTAACCGATACAATATTTACATACGAATAAATCTACGAATACGTAGAACATACGAATATACGAATAAATACAATTTTGTTGATAATTTTTTTTTTTTTTTTTTGTTTTTTTTTTTTTTTGTTTTTGCTTCATTTTGTTTCGTTCCATTAATTAACTTCTTAATATGTGCAACATACAAAATTTCATTTTATTCAATTCATATTTTGAAATACGAATTAATATGTTTTGAGAGTTACTTATTGTGAATTAAGAATCCCATGAATTCAAATTTAGCTTTCAATCTATTTATTCACATACCGTAAGATTATACTAATTTGGAAATATTTTCAAATGCGCTTTATAACTTGTTTGCTCGTTCGTATTCCGTCGTTCCCCACAAAATATACCATTAAATTCTTATAGAATTGCAAATATTGCAATGAATTTTTAAATGTAATTGCTTGATTTGTTTATAATGTAAGAGTTTGCGTCAAGGCACACGTACCGACTATAACCATTCGATCATAATACTTCATTTTCCAAGCTCCAGATGGTTAACGAGGCAATTCTCAAATAAATCCAAACATCTCAATGTAGCCAAATGATCATGAAATGGCTTTTATTAAAAATGTAATAATTAGTCACAGAGCGAAGCAGCTAATATTACATTATAATAATAGCACTAAATAGCAATAAGAGATAGCTGCATGTAAATTAGATTATAATGGAAAGAAATTTTATTGTCAGGGAAAATTCGCAATGAATAACTGCTTCATTTAAAATGCATTCGCTCTTGATGCACGCTCGTGAAAACTTTTTCAGTCTCGTATAACGTACTAGTTGCTCGGGGCGAAAAGCGCAGCATAAACTAAAGCTTTTACTTTTCCTATTTTTCTCTCGATAATTCGCTCATCTATAGACCGATGCGATAAATCTCGCGAGTTTAAGTATCCGGAATATTCGCGTTTCCAGGGAATACGAAGGAAAAAGGCCGCGGAGCTCATTCTCTTCAGCGTATATCGTAATTTCCGCGTGATTTATCAAGTGACTATCATCATGCTCGCGTGCCCACTTGCAGTTTGCTTCTGCCGATGCTAGACTATCAGAGTCCGCAGACGCGCCGTTTCTTTCACGCGAACGTAACTATCCGACTTATTTATTCGCGCTCCCTTAACGGAGACACGTTGCGTTCAACGTACATGAGGTCGCCGATATAATTTCGACGGATTTTCATTGATCCTTTGGGTGGTAAGGGGTAGGTGGGGTGCGCAATAAACAAACAAAAAACGCTTTTTCATTGAGGCGCCGAGACATTCGATTAGGTGCCGTGGAATCGAGGCGCTTTTTTTTTCTCTTTGCATATATTGTAGATATTGGTGATATTGAGTGGAAGGGAATAAAAAAATGATGAAAAGGTATCGAGGATACAAGTGCTAGGCCAGATTGATTGCAATCTAATATATAATATTGCCGCGTATTTTATTTTATTATTATTTTTTTATTTTATATGGAATTATAAGAAACGCAGGACTTTTCATAGCTATTTCATTTTGCAATCAATTGTCAATTTCATTATTTAATGTCGTCGGCAACAGCTAATGAAAAGACTAAATGTATTTCACGTAATTTTTAATCATTATTAAATGAGTTTATGAAAATTTTCATAGAGCACTTTTGTATATAAAGCTATATTTGCCTTTATTAGAAAATTTCTATTTAATAGATGAATATTTTATTTATTTTTAAACGTTATTGGTATTAAACGATAGCTGATATTTCAGAATATTTGTTTATTAGCAATGTAACTAATTTAACATATTTAACATTATATATTTATAATACAAATGAACGAGATCTGTTTCTTATTAGAATGTAATCTTTTCAAAACGAATCAACAATCCTTCATGTTTTATTATTTTGTTGCTGAATTTTCAAATTATGAAAATATATGTCGACGGCATCAAATGGGCATGAGTGAGTAATATGTGAAAAGAAAAACTAAATTGATATAATTTATTTAATTTTCAAGAGATCATTAATAATTTTCAAGATAACTTCAAGAGATCAGAGTAATATCAAAACATATCTCAGAGCTCTTTCGGAAATTCTATCTCTCTCTCTATCTCTCTCTCTCTCTCTCTCTCTCTCTCTCTCTCACACACACACTCTCTCTCCTCTCATATGCATATATACTTATGCAACGGTATCTTATCCAAATATACTAATTTGTAATTTTAGTGTATTTCGATATTCCTGGAGAACATTTACCTAAAATAAGCATCAAATTTCGTCCTGTCGGTTTTATCTAAACATTTAAATGCAAAGGTTAAATTTACTTTGAAAAATCATTAATAGTAATTAAAAATTCGGTAACGCACGTAATTGTACGATTTCATGTATGCATGGCGCACACATAACGCAATGTTCGCGAAACTGTATTACTAATGAGTATTCGGCTCAGCGTTATTTACGTCATTGTATATAACATTAATCTATACCGTAACGTAAAACACACCAGCCCCGGCACTTTTACTACACGATGACGTTGAATCACACAAATACATATATGTACTCATGGCCATTACGACTTACCGCTCATTATGGGAGCACAATGAGCCGGTGAATGATCATCGCGGGTACGTTGTCTCTAGCGAGGGTTATAAAACGGATTCTGCACGCGTATCACTGCGATTAGAAGCACCCATCAAGAGATTGGGCACGCACTATGGTAAATGAGGACGCATCACTTTCATATGAAGCTGTTACCGCTACTAGTACTAGCATATCATTAATGGTGTACAATCGTGGCAAGGTCATCAATTCCCGTAACATAATCCCAACAGCCCGTTTAAACATAAAATTTTCAGATAAAGAAATCTATTTTGAAGGTACAAGTGATTTCACGCGAATATATCGCGAAATGCATTTGTCCGAACAAAATTGTAAATTGCATCACTTTTTATGAATACAATGCATTATACTAACGTAATCACGTGTATGTGCTTGCATGCGCATTAATAAAGCAGCCCAGCTGAATAGAGGCAGTGGGCTTGAGGTTTCGAGCACGCATCGCCTGTATTTGTGCAAAAATATTTACTACTTTGCGCGTACTGTAAAGGGAAATCATGCACCGCCTGGAATTATTTATCGCGTAACGATACGGAGCCATAAAATTAATAATTACTTAAGAATGAAATTTTGAAAAAATAACAAAACAACGATTAAACATTTTATGCCACTCGCTTTACAACGGTCGTTTATTATGTGATTTAATCGATTCACGACATCTGAATAATTCAAGTATGAGTATTACAGAAAATCAGTTAAGAATACTTGAATATCCTTCCGTCGATTCGATGAAGAAGAAGAAGAAGAAGAAGAAGAAGAAGAAGAAGAAGAAACATTTATATATATATACGAAATAAATATATATTAGAATTGGAAGTAATTGGAATAATATAAATTATTAAAGAAAGTTCGCACGAGGAATTCAAAATGGAACCACAACGATTTTAGATATTGTTCGTGCAACTTGAGATGATATTTCGAAGATTACTAATTTAAAATTATAATGAAGTATTTAAAATTAGATTGCGAAATCCTTTAAATAGTCCCATTCATTCGGCTATTAAATTTGGTCAATGAATTACAAATCCATTATCAATGTGATCTCAAACGTTTTATTCCCACGATTATTATATTCAATGTGATGAATTTACTTCGATACTCACGACTAATCTCTCTAATTAATCTCAAGGCATAGGAAATGAGACGTAGATATTTTTTTATACATATACGTGTTCCCATCTTATACGCATTGGACACACAAGATGTAAATAAAGTTTTAAATTGAATATTTTTCATACTGTATGTAAACCTGGTACAAGTACTTCGGCAATCATAATGATTTCATCCGCTTGTAAAAACCTTTGCGAAAACCTCTGTCTCACTACCAAGAACTTACCATTAACTAGGAATTTTGCTTAATAGATAGTAGAGAAGTATTTTCGAACTTCGATGAGCTACTATGAGCGCAACTAATACACATATAAGCTCGAAATAGCGGCGCCTAAATTTAATTTGCAGAATTGAACGAAGATTATAATAATAATTAATGATAAAATACTTTGTTGAATAAGAAGAAAGTAATTAAAAAAATCTTCTAATATACAAGCAATAGATAGACATTTATTTTTCAAATTTTTTGAAATTAATATGGATACTTTTTATAAATTATATAGAATTTGAAAAATGCGTTTAATGCATTTTCTCCCATTATTCGAAAGAGATATAAATTGTTTATAAATTAACGTGCTGACGTGGGATGCTATTTCAAAATAATGTTGGTCAGATAATGTATTCCGTACTAATACATTATTGAACAGAGAGCAATTTTAATAAAATATTAAATTGAACGAAATAGCAGGAGGAAGTAATAAATAAAATATCTCTTGTGCTCTTCTCTTGGGCTAATTTATTTAATTTTTTTTCCAATGATGCTTCCTCTATCATTTCGTAAATTGTATTACATAAAATACTCTCGTTTATATATATATATATATATATATATAGATTTTTAGAAAATTCAATATCTACTTTTTAAAATAATAGATATTAAAGGGATTAGCAACTATCGGATAAATATATTTTATTATACGAACGTTTTAATTTCCAACCAATTACAAATTTAATGTGAGCGTTAAATTATAATATGTATTGGCGAAATTAGTTAGCATATAATCAGAACCTAATTTTCAGAGATTAAGTTACTGTTATGCAAATGAAGTTAAATAAATTTATTCGTCGTGAAGAGAAATAGGACACTGTATATATTTGTATTTGTTTCCAAGTTGTAAGTTAATTTGGTTGCAAGTGCGAAAAAATTTAATTCCTATAAATTTATTCAACTGAGAATAAATACAACCAGTAAGATGCTAGTTATCGGCTAAGTGTTGTAATAAAATGAAATTTATCTCTTGCTTTTAATGTAAGCCTATGTATGCTTCAATTAATTGCCTTGTATTTAAAGACAATTTATTTAAACTTTTTCAATTATATGTGAAATAGCATTACGGAAATTCGTTTCAAGTATGATTTTATGGGTATTGAAGAAGATGTTAGGCTATTAAGTGTTTTAAATTTGAACAAATATGATGGTGGCAGGAGGGAGCAGAAAAAAATTATCAATTATATTAAAAAAATAAATAAATAAATAAATCATAGCTGCCATAGAAGAAAGATTTTTTCAACGATTATGATTTTATGTGCCCTATAAATATATTTATAATAAAATAATGATTATACGAATGAAATGAAGATATTCATCGTAAATAATTTAAGTTCTTATGTATATATATATATATATATATATATATATATATATATATATATATATAAATTAATTCAAAGTGTGCAAAATAGACAGTATGAATATTATAAAATAAGAGGTGGTTGGCGAGAGTCTGATGTTCGAAGTAATTTAAAGAGACTTGACTTGTATTGAAAACTCAGGTTTATTATTTAGTTTATATGTTGATAACTAGTAGTGCGAGTGTATTGGCCATATTATCTTAATATTATCTCATCATAATTAGTTCTCGTTATAATTAGTTAGATCGTGTTATTCTGTTTACCAATACATGTATATTGACGATCTTCATCAAATACTTATATACAGCTGGAGGAGTCAATATGTGCATATAGATAGATGGGTGGATACGAGTTTGTATCATACATGTTATATAGGAACTGGATGTTGAATTATCTTAGCCTAATGAAATGACAGCAGCGCACTGATTGTGTTGTTCCATTTTACTATTATGTACGATCACAAGTTTCTATAGGCTCGTAAATTTGAATTAACTGACAGATCGACTTATAAATTTTATAATTATACTTAATTTAGTAAAACAATTAACCTCGACATAATGGGGAATAAAATATATGCTTAATACAATGTGAAAAGAAAAAGTTAATTTATTAATATTAAACGAAAATTATATGCATTGATATGGAAAAATATCGTAAGTATTAATACGTATTATTGAATTTTATAATTAATTGTTGAATCAATTTTTAAGTTATATTAATAATGCATATTAAAAATGAGGAACGAATCATAATGTTCTACTTCTATATCATTATTTTTTATCGACGAATAAAGATAGAACCAAGTAATTATTAATTGATTCGTCTAGATGTAATAAATAATTAACAAAAGGCTTATATATGTTTAAAAAAAAATTTTTAAACCTATCAGTTAGAATAGCACGTATTAACTCACTCACAAATTAATTTAAATTCGAAAAATATTGTGTACCATAAAATAGAGAAATTTTATTTATAAAATATTTAAAGTAGGATTTTGCTTATCAATGTTTTTCAAATTTGTGTGTTTGATTAACGCACATTAAAAAAATAGAATTTAACACAAATAAGATAACTGATAAAATATACATCGTATTTTTAAAACACTAATAAAATTTATATTTGTATATTTGTATATATATATATATATAATTTATTGATTTTATTCTTCAAGAGTTTATATTAACGAAAAGAAAATGATACGATTTCGTGACTAGATTCTCAATGAGAATGAATGATATTATATTAGATTATATCATATTATATTATTTATACTGATAAATAATTATGTTAAATTTTGTTTACTGTGATGCCTATGCTTGCAAAAAAGTCATTGAATGTTCAGATAAGCTAATAATGATAATTCAATTTGTAGCTTAAACGGCATTGATATTATTATTATTAAGATTAATTTATTGGAGAAAAAAACAAGGAATCAAGATTGTCATTTATATTTTTTAATTATCAATAGTTCGTTATTTTATTTCTAGTAGCTAATTATTATTAATTGAAAATATAACTGTAAATAAAATATTTATGTAGGTAATAACGTAATACTTACGCAGGAAATAACATGATAAAATTAAATAGGATGTGTATGATGAAATAATTAATATACATAAAATTATATTCTTTAAATTACTTAGTGTTTTTGCAAAAATGTATTCTCGCACGAAATGAATGAAGTAATTTGTTTTTTATTTTGTTTTCGTTACAAACGTAAGCTATAAGTTTATAAGAATTGCATTGACAATGCATACGGCTGTAAACTAATTGCCAAAATCTATTATATTTGATAATCCATAAAAGCCAGTGAATTTTTTAGATAAATATAAACAATATACGAACGATATGAGTTTCATTAAAGAAAAAAATTATTTATTTGAGCAACTATAAATAAGATCGATGGATCCATTTCAGTTGCGTCGGTATTATTCGAACTAAAAACATAATTAAAGCCTTTGGAAAATTATTAAAATCTCGTTAATATGCAATGCAAAGATATGAAAGGGCGAGGGAGAAGTGAATAAGAAGTGAAAGACGTGGAAATGGCTTAATTAAAATAACTCGAAGGAATCGCGCTGGCATAAAATAGCCGAAGCGAACAATCCAGGATCCGCGCGTAGTTAACTAAATTAATTTTCCAAGGCTCATTGAAAGCTCGCTCGTCAGACGGCAAGAGCTGCTCTCTGCAAGCTCGCAAGACACGGTCCATGCAAATGCTCCCGGTCTCGAGCTCTCATTAAGATTAACGCCTGCTTTACTTTAACCAACTCCACCCCGCCCCACCCCACACCACCCCACACCATCCCACACCACACCATACCACACAAGCCCCATCCCGTCCCGAGCCTCGTCCCGCGACCCATTGGCACTCGTGCGCCTGCATGTGCACACACGTGCATTGGCCGTCGCATCCGTGACATGGAATTAATTACCGAAAGCCAAGATCACTCACATCACTCCTGTGTCTGTGTGTTGCAGCCTGATCCATCGAGAGACGAGGCCGGAACCGGCGATACGCTGCTCGACGCTTCGGGGAGCGACGAGGCTCCCGAAGGCCCCGGACCACCGGAGCGAGGCCAGGCTCAGGATAGACCCGAAGGTCCTCGTCTTCGTCGAGACCCTCTATTCGAGACTGGGTCGCGAGATCGCCGAGCTCCTCGTCTATAATCGCATAAAGTAAGTATTCGGGAGGGCTGAATTATTCATTCGGACCCACTGATGGGCGCCCATTACTTTATCGAGGATCGTACACGAACAGCCGAGCTTACCATGCGATTACGCCTTCAATTCAGTTTTCGAGAAGAATGTTTCTTATTAGGTACGTGCTGCTGAATTAAGGAGAGCCAGGACACTTGGTAGAATATATTTTGGATGTAGTATAGCGCTGACCATGCCCACTTGCCACTGAAAAGAGAATTTTAAATCGCTTGTTTATACTACGCTCCTTCGACCTAAAAAAGTTGTATAGATTTATCTTATCATAACTCTAATACTGTCAACTCTTTTATTTCTTTGTTTCTTTCGTTTTCATTAATTTTTTTTTTTTTTTTTACCTTATCGTATTTTGTAAACTAGATCTCATCACACATGCGCGCAAATTTTAATTATGTCGTGAAGTCTGTCTATATGCGCGCGCGCGCGTGTGTGAGTGCATAACGTTTAAGTTTATTTGGAAAATATAGCTTTTGTATTTTTATTTTATTTTACAGATGTCCAACAGTGATATATTATATAAAAGAGTTCGTAAAGTTACTTACAGACTGTGCATTGTATTTATTGAAAATATTCAAAGACATACATAGTTATTCATACTTATTATAAATTTAATGTTTTATGTAATACAATTTTTTTTTTTTTTTTTTTTTTTTTTTTTTTTTTTTTTTTTTTTTTTTTTTTAATGTAAATAATATTTGATCGACGTTATGTTTTCGAGTAATACACATTACATCAAATTTCAATAGTTTATCAAATTTTTCAAATAAATATAATTCATATTTTCATATTGTTTCTATGAAATTTGCTCTAAATTAACTACTCTAATCATCAATAAAACTGATGCATAATTAATTAGTAGTCAATTAACAAGTAATTAGCTAATTACTTACAAAATCAATTTTAATCTATAGTTTAAACAATTAAAAAAATTAATAATATTTAAATTATTTATGATTAATGCCCATATATATCTTAAGTATATATTTTTTTTACTGTATTCGCGCGTTAAAACATATAGAATTTGTTAAATTTTCTTAGTTATATCTTAGCAATTTGCTTAGTTAAAAATATTTCTTTTTTTTTTAATATCTTATATTTATTATTCATTATACAAATAAAATGAATATATATATATGAGAACTTTTGTAATCATTTCAGTTGAATAATACCAATAGTACATTAAGCTCATTACAAGAGAAATCAACTGTTGTTTAGTAAAAATGCAAAATAGAACGTAAAATAGAATTACAAAAACTTTATGATTTGTCATGCAAAATTATACACATTTACTTAAAAAAAGAAAAGCTTGACCTCATTTTATTCTTTTTAAACTTAAATATTTTCAGTCCTTATAGTTTGTAATTTTGTAAATACCATTATTCTTTATACCAATAGTATTATTAATTTTTAATTTATACTCTTCACTTAAAGTATTTTATTGATTTAACAATTATTTTTATATTAAATGCTAATCAATACACTATACACTAAATTATATGAAATATGTGAAATATTTTCTTTTGAGCTTGTAAAGCATAATAATATTTTTTTTATACAGTTCAAACTTAATAGAATTTGCATGTAGAAAGTAATTCGTTTTTCTGTCAGATCTAATATAAAAATTGGAAATAAATCTTATTTGTGGGAAAATTTATTAACATTTTATAGCTTTTATTATATTTATTATTGCAAATGAATAATGAATTTTCGATGGATTTTACCTTTTAGATTTAAAAGTCAGAATCAATTTTTTATTATCCTAACATAAGGAAAAATATCGGAATAACGCATCTCCGATCTTCTATAAAATAAAGAATAATTCTGAAAATGTTGACGTAATTAATTACAAATCCATTAATTTCAAAATTTTTCTCAGATTCTAAGCGAATCCATTTTTTCTCGTTAATTAATAAGGTGCGACGCTCTACTTATTTCCTGTAATTTAGATATTTGATTTGGAAATAGTTTCGGAATACCCGATGTAATGGAAAATGCAGAAATAGGAATGGAGAGAAAGCGTGGAGAGAGAAAAATGATAGGATATATGAGAGCTAGGAGAATATAGAAAGGGAACAATGGAAAAATATTGGATATTTTTCCTTACCTTTATTTGATGGCTCATGCATTTTAAACATAACATTTGTTTTCCTTCTATCTAGACCTGTTTTTACAACATTAAAATGAGGTTTTCAAAGTTTGTTTTGAAGTATTCTGTATGGGAAATCATCAAGACTATATTAGTAAATTATCAGTTTGTCGACATTTATACAAATTATGCCTAAAAAATTTAAATAAATTTCAATTTATATGCCACTGAAAAATAAGTAAATTGTTATAATTGTACATTAATTTTATAAAGAATTTATAAAAGACGGATAGTCGTAATTACATATGTAATTAATTAATGCAATATGATCCTTATCGAAATTGTCAATAATTTTACAAACTTGCTGTACAAATTTTATGCTCCATTTAGATAGATTAAACTTGGTAGCATAATTGGAATTAATAATTAATTAATTGCATAGGTTGAATAAGTATGAACAAAACTATCACACAGCAAAAAAAAAAAAAAAAAAAATGTAACAATTAACTTATCCTATTACAGCATGCAAGCATGAAAGGATTCGTATTTTGATTTATCCAGCTATCGTTGCAAAAGTGCACGGATAGATTCAGTCTCCACTTTATTCGCTTACACTATTTTCTCCCAGTAGCCATTTTTTGCATCAACTCCCTCGTTCCTCATTCTATCTTTTTCTTATAGCCCTCATGCGTGCAACTTGTTTATTCCGCGCAATGGTCCCTTAGCTTACAGTATATAGGGAAACTTTGTTTGCAGTGCGATCGAAGCACTAATTACGATTAGCCGAGCGTGACTTGTGTAAGCAATACGACTAGTAGCGCGAGTGAGATGCTACTTCACTATTACAGGAGAGAAAAAAAATTGAGCTTTTGATTACCATTTTGAAATAGTTTCATAATTATTTTAGTAAGTTTTCATAGAATTCCATAGAAATTCAAAATAAAAAGCATTATACATTGATTGCTTATTCATTTTATAAATCTCCCCCTCTCTCTCTCTCTCTCTCTCTCTCTCTCTCTCACTCTTATTAGCTCATTCAGTTTTATTTTTTCAGCAAGTAGAATCTCGAGAACGAATAAAAGAGACAGAGCCCGCAAAATAGAGTTTTATCTTGTTAAAAAAAAAAAAAAAAAAAAAGATTATTGACAAAAAAGAATAATTGACAATCAAGTTAGTGTAAAGTATACTAATTTAATGCTCTTATGCAAATGATACACAGTAACAATTATTGTAAATTACCCAGATTCGGAACGTTTCTTTTATTCACATTGCAAGCTGCGAAAAGTTAGTTGAGCCGATGCGTACACAATGCATTGTACATTTTTCGAGTTATCGTAATGATTCACGTGTATCAATCGATTTTTAAAAAGATTTTTCAATCTGGACTTCCCTAAAATCTCTTTAAATTTTAAAATATTTAAATTCTAATACTGCCACAAGCACATTATTTTTTTTCTCCTTTTTCATCCTTCAAATATAAGTGTATGAATTTCATTCGTTGGACACTTATAAAAAAATTATATCGATTCGCATTTATAGTTATTCGCATTTATATTACTAAGGAACGCTTGCGAATCGCTTGCAATTATATTTGTAGACATAAATGTCTTTACATACCTGAGAAAATGGAATATTGGTTTAATGAATTTAAAAATAATAATATCGACATATTTATCCTTATACTTTTTAAATAAATTTCGAAGTAATGATACTCGTATAATGCAATATTTGCATACCAATGAGTGAGTAATCATAAGAAATGAATTTCGAGTGATAACATTTAAGGATTTTGTCGTCTGCTTGCTTCTTCGGCTAATATTGCCAACCACGTGTACTATATAATTTTAACTCTTTATTAATTAAAGATAATGACAAATATTTTGACAAATATTAAGTAAATAAAATTCATGCATTGCACCTGATTTTTATCAACTGACAGACACTTAAAAATAACACTATAAGTAATAATAATAAAAATAAATGTTCGACCATGCCATTAATATTTATAAAATCCAGCTGGTCTCTAAAGCAAATCTCTGATACGTTTAACAATCGATCTCGCGAACTTTCTAGCAAGTACTGCAGATCCATCTACGATAGCCAAGGATAAATTGAAATAGACGATATATAGTGTAGAAACACGCATACGCGCACCGAGAAAGTTTGCCTAACCCTGCGCATAGGCTCGGCGCCTCTACACGGCAAAGCTCGTAATCCAATAAAAAGGGAAAAAGGATAAGGGCGCGTTGCGCAATTTTACAGTGACTTCTTGGTAATTCTTCAACGGAATACGAGCAATCCGATCCGTCGCTTTATATTGCCCGTAAATCTAAGCTAACCGGCATCAGCGGCAACGGCGCCACGCACACTTATATATCCCCTTATCTCGTTAAGTTTTTTATTTTTTATTTCCCTCCATTACTACTTAGCTTCACGTTCTTCTTTCGCTTTTTTTTTCATCTTTTCTTGCTCATTGTCTATACTACCAATCGACCCTCTCATCAACTCCTTCATTTCCTCCTTCTTTATCACCGACATCTAAAACTACTCACGCGCATTCTTAGTTAAGGTAACAACTGACTTTCTTCACTTCCTTTTGCATACAACGACACACGTTACCTCGATCGATCATTTCTCGCATTATATTTTTTATCGAATCATTATATCGAAACATTCATGAAATTATTATTATAATAAAATCATAATTCTTTGTTCGTAACAACATGATCAGTTGTTATTATTATTAGTTCCTCTAGCCTAAATTCTGTGTAAGTAATTGTCACAAGAAAAATTTGAGCCGCTACTTCAGTATGTATGGTATTAGGGAACAAAAATAATTTATAATTCAATATTGTGATATTTGATGTTATGTTAT